GCCACGCTAGTAGTAACAGGTGCCTTACTAGTAGTAACAAGAAGCTACTAGTAACAAGATTCAGGTCGTTTCGTTCTGACTTGGTCTCGACACTAGGCACCACCATTGATGGCGTGCCGGCATGCTGGAAATGCTCGCCTCCTCGATATGTTACATGGCGTAAATTTAAAACGAGTCCTTGCGTTTGGTGTCAATGACAGGCCCACCGCAACCACCATGGTCTGTAGAATGAAGCCCCTTTTTGTTTGGCGGCAGCATGCAGCCCGAATTGATACAACCATTTCATTTCATGTTTCCATCTCTATCCTTTGACTCTAGCAGGGGCCTTGGCCTCAAATGACAATGGTCCTTGTTAAAGACATCGGCGCTGCTCACATGAGATCACATGAGTCAGTCAACTGTCAATGCGGTTTTCCTCATGTGCAAAAATCAAGCCGCAGCCATGGGCCATAGCACATTTCCTTGGCACATTGGTCAATTGTATGGCCCAGCGTTCTGCGGCAGATCTCCTTCGGGCCAGAATCAATCGAGCTTTCCTCGTTTATGCAAGGACAGCTGACTTGTTCTTTGATTCCTTCATGTGTGCGGCACTCCTTGTTGCAAGTGACACAAGTCACAAGACCTTGAAGTGGCAAATCGCAGAATTGCATGAGAATGGACACTGAGCAACATAGGCATTTTAAGTTGCGCTGCCATGTAGCTTCATTATTGTAAATGGATGTGATAGGGGGTTGTTGGGTAGTGCAGCTGCTTGCTGAGGTCTTCGACTACCGCTTTGCAGTATCCTTCTTCGCCCGGGGGCCCAGGAAGAGAGGATGGATGATGTCAGATGGGCGCAAAGGGTTCTTGGCATTCTTTCCTTGAAGATGTGTTGGAACGTCACCAGTGGGTTTGGGACTTCACCCTCCCCTAAGCCCGAGGGCGTGTGATGACTCAGAGGACGGGGTTTGTATGCATGAGGTGTTCAAAATGCATCGCCGATGCGCACGACACAAAAGAGCTTGTGAACAACCCCCTTTTTTTTTGCCACTGCGGGTGTTCAAGCAGTTTGTGACACTTTTGATGATGTCGCCATGAATGTGGTGGTGTTTTGCTTCTTAGGTCCCTGGGAGGGACTTATGAGAGATCATGAGAGTGTGTGCTGATGCTCATTCAAGATCTTTTTGGGATTTATATAGTTATATAGTTCTTGATGGATCCTGGGAACACATTCTTGTGACTATAACGTCCAATAAGTAAAGACACCGCATCACTTTAAAACATGTGCTGGGAATCATTCCCATGTTTGTATATTATGTCAGAACGTTGTTGGTCACGAGCTTCAAAGCTCCCTAAGCCTTCTCCGTCGCAAGTCCTGTTTTGATGTTGGAGGTTTTCCTTTGGAACAACGCCCTCAACATTGCCATTGGCCAATGCATCATTGCCGGCGCTGTTGGTGTTTGGCGCCCCGACTGTTGCCTTTGACAACGAGAGACATGGGTAAGTTGGGACTCAAAGGTGGCTATATTATAGGGCGATATAGGGCGCAGTGGGGGATTTGACAAGCATCTTGCGTGCGTGCACTTTGGGTGGGGAGGAATCGCCGCTTGGTCAGTCTTGTTGTCAAACTTTGCCCGTGGAAGCGTTGCTTCCCATCTGCTCAGCCGAGGTTCTTCACACCTAACGCCGAGAAGGGGAAGAGGGGAGCCATCAAGACATCGGTCTGGAATGTCTTCCGCCCCTTGGCGGGCCTGGTCGGTTCAGCTTGGACAATGAGTTACCATAGCATGGTGGCATGGTGTTACAGTGATTCAGATGACGGCTCCATTTCTTTTGGTCCGCAGTAGGCTCTGCCGGTTCAATCATTCATCCATTCATTCATTCCTTGCTTTGCCTTGCCTTGCCTTGGGGCGGTGGATATTGATTGAAATCACCCGCCCAGCCTGCTCAGCACTGTTTTCAGCTGGTGGCCCAAGCAAGTGAGCCGAGTGGCTCCCGCAGTAAAGCCTGGGCGCCGCACAGCAAGAAAGCTTTGCCACCCGCGGAGTGGATAGCAAGAGGCAGTTGGTACAAAAGAAGCCACACCTCAATCCTTCAGCGACCCTGTTTGAACCATTTTTGAATCCCCCAATTGAACTGAAAGGGCTTTTTGGGATGATTGTATGTTAGCCAATCCGATTCTCCACCGGTCCAGTTTCGGCCTTTTCTAGGCTATCACCTTGGCTCGCTGGCCTTCGGCTCCTTCATCATCGCAGTCATCCAATTCATTAGGCGACGCATGTTCGGCCCCACCCCGTTGTGGTGGAGGGGCCGAACACTCCAAAGGCCTTATAAACATTTATTGGTTTGAGTGTCATTCCACGCGAGGTAAACCTAAGGGACACCAAAGGTAAACGTGTGGAACCCTTGCTGCCGATGTGCAATCAGCGGCTCAATGGCAGGCCTTGGAAACAGTCGAAAGTATGGTGCACAAAAGCTATTTTGGTTGAGGTCCTCATGGAAACATTTGATATACTCACCTGCTTCGGTTTCCATAGCTTGATGTGGTTACCATTGGTTCTCGTCATCTCTTGATGGTCAGGTTCATAGCTATCGATTCGTTGTGGCGTTGGAGGTGTGCTGGAGTTGGTTCCATCAAATGCTCAAGCTGCCAGTGAAAAAGTCCGGGACTCGCGAGGTACCTGATGAATTACTTCGAGAAGCAGGCGAAGGCGCAGAAGAATCGCGCACCTCGAAGATTCAAGCAGTTGGCCCGTCTATGCAGGGCAAGTCTAGCAAGTGGTCGGTTTCTTGGGGTGGCTACAGTGCCCAAAAAAGCATGCGTCAAAATAAGAGACCTCGACTTCAAGGGCATAAAACAGCGATAAACAAACATATCGCAGCTCCAGATGCATCCAGGAGCTTGTTGTGCTTGGACCTTAGGTTTGATACGTCCAGGCGTCTCGACTTGACCGAAGGAGTTGCTGCTCCAAGACATTGTTTGGTCAACGAGTCAAGCCCTGGTGCTGGTATTCAAAGGGCCACGACGTGGCACAGTCTCTGTTGCTGCACCGCACTGTCTCCGGAGATCCCCCCCCCGGTGTGAACTAACCAATGTAGTTGCAGGAACGTCAAGCCTCAGAGAGGTAATGGCTGCCTCGCACTTGAGGTAATGGCATTGATTTTGCGCTGCCTTCAGTGCTGCATGTATTGCTTCGAGCAATGCATCAGGTTCTTGAACAAGAACCTGGGGCTTAGCGGAGAGGATGCGGAAGGACTCAAGCTCATGGCCCACCATAGGAGAAGATTAGAACCAAGCGCCTCATTCACAATTCATGCCGGTTGGACTCAGTGGTATTATGATCGGCTGCAAGTCCCACTGACCAGGACCATGTTGAGAACCGACTCCATGTTTGCTTGGCCAAGCTTCCCATGGTTGTGGTTACCTGGTTAGACATGGCAATATCATTGCTGTTGCACCTGCCGGCATTCGGGCGCTCCAAAGTTGTGCACAGTCCCGGGAAACGACAGATTGACCGAAACAGTCCTTCCAGCGATCACCGGTTGTATAGCAGTTTTGGGGCGTGAAGGAACTATATATTGTTCTTTCAGAGTTTCTTTCAGATATTGGGCCCAGGGCCTCAGCAGGTGCACAACTCATGGCTTAGATGTTCACAGTGTGGCGGATGCTATTTTGGGAGCTATCGGGATCTCTGTCAGGAACGCATACATCCAGATCGCGCTCATGGGCACCAACTTCTGCACCTCTGCGAAAGCTGCAACTCGACGGAGCTGAGGTTGTAAGGTGCTGTGCGTTTCATGAGCAAGTGCCACCGTGCTACATAAATGCATCCAAACGGCCAGATGGACGCGTTTCATCGAAGTTGGCTCCAAGAAACCAACCTTCCAACCCTGTCGCCAGTCCTGTCACTCGTTCAGAAGGCCTTCTTCCTCATTCTGCGGAACGCCTTGCGCTTCGGGACGGTCGCGGCGCCTTGGTGGACCTGGTGGATCGAGCTCTCGGCGCGAGCCGGATGGCAGGTTTTATATATAGACCTGCAGACATGTTTAATAGATAGAAAAGTTAAATCACCACTAAAAATGTATGGGAAACCGTGCCACTATCGATTTGGGGACCACGAATAATCTGGTTCAATTTAAGGATCCTACAGCGGGTGCTGTTCACGAGTACTACACCGTGGGGAGGGTGTCATGTCCCTCAGATCTCCCCTTTGTTTACCATCTTGAACCTGATATCCTCCGCACCAGATGGCCAGTTCGTTGAATCATCATGATTGTACTGGAAGGCTTGGAGACATGGGGCGACATTCATAGACATTCATAGACAACAGTAAACATATAGTAATTTCTATGCGCAAATACTAGACATTGCGGCCCATAGTGTGTACCTTTCTTTGCGAAAAGAGAAAGATGCTCACAACTCCAGACTGACGCCCTCCAGCATCAGCTGCTCCACGCCAGCCGGACGATTTGCGCACAGTTGTTGAGCACCATGGTGAACCTCATTGGTTTCTTCTTCATTGTGGCTGCATCCGTTGGTTTGGGCCTCTCGGCAGGGTTGGCCCGGAAAAATTTGATGCTAGCGTGGCCATGCATGGCCATGTAGAAAGCCTGGTCGGTCTTTGTTCACGTTGAATCCTCAGGTTGATGAGTTGAATCCGAGGCTACCTCTTCCTGCAAGCCTTACATCCCGACATGGCCTTCGTGATTCCCTTGCTGATGTACGCTGGGTCCTCGGATGTCCGGCAACAGGTGAAAGAAAGCGGCCGTCCATTCAGCTGGGTGGGGCCATGCTGTGTCTGGCTCATGTCGTGCACTTGTTCTCCCATGTTCTCCCATTTTCCCGGATTGTTTCGTCCAACTGCACTATATATGTGGGTTCGTTGAGTGTATGGAGTTGTTCAATGTTGTTCACGTATACTGACTGTGAGAGCCCCCAAAATCTCCGAGTTCATTTGCTTCTCCCTGAGCCCATACATCGCCTCCCCAGTGGTTGTTTGCACAGAAGGCCATGATGGCCTATGTGGTGGCGAAGCTGCTTCTCGGCGGTGAAGATGCATCCGCCCTTGGCGTCAGCTCGAGCGGAGGGGGATGTAACACAGGGACACCTGAAGGATCCTGAAGAATGGCTTGTCACTTGTCACGAGTAGTTTTCAAGTCTTCCTGAGGTCCGTGTTCTTTTTCCACATTCAGCCTCTTAACCTGGACGTGGCTTCGTAGGAGATGTCGCTGCGGGTTCGCAACCTTTTCGCACCAAGGGATGGGCGCGCACGGTGTGTGAAGCTCAACTCGCAAGAGCAGCACAGTGGACGAGCACTTGTTTTCGGGGCCATGTTCATTCCCAAAAGAACCAAAGAACCCTGTACTCAGGCCCCATTCGAGTGATTCCGGAATACCCCCGCCTGACCTAGGGGTACAGAAAAATTCCCTCCAGGTATGCAATAGTTACCTGCATCAGGGTCATAAATGGAGCAAATGTATGTATAACTATTCCGCAACTATTCCATACATGGATGCTTTGGTAGATTGGCCGTGGGTGCCACTTTGTATTCCTATGACTGGGATGTCACAAAAGAAAAAACACTGTGCGAGCTTCCCCCCACAGTAATAGGCGACACGACCGACATACACAGACTCGAACGGGGCCACGTGTTGCTCCTGTTTTTGCAAGGTTCCTTTCTCGATGTTTGGCTGTCTAGTGAGTTTATATGGATATATATACATATATAGATAGATTAAGTATCTAGATCTTGGAACACCTAGCGGCTTAGCGGCTAGCCAGGTTTCTGAACGTCTTCGGCTTGGCAGTGGATAGCACCCTTCAGTGCTTCCTGGCCTGTGAAGAGATGGACCTCTTGGGTGACTTCGTTCCGGGTGAGATGTCCAAGTGCCTTGGCTTTTGGCTCGCTGACGTGTCTCAGCCACCCACCCCGGAGGCTTCAGGGCATTTCACATGCGTTGCATGGTCGATTTCCAGACCAACCTTCATCTTTCAGGATTTCGTTCGTTTTTTTTTTGGGGAGACGCCAAGGATTCCTCAGCCTCCCTGCCTTTGGGCCTCCTGCTTCCAGTATCCCCAGAAAAATCACAGGGGAGAGAGCACACAAGCTGAACATGGTGGGTTTGGAGGTCAGGTCTTTTTACTCAACCTCCCAAGGAGGATAGGTCAGGTGTTTGGCGAGGTGGTTCAATTTAAGCTTCCCCTGCTGCTTGGTTCCACCACTTTATATTTATAGAATTGGGTTCTGCAACCACCTATCATATGTGTCATGCACAACTCTTAACAGAATTCTTTAGGAGCGGGCGTCCCCCTTTGGAAACTTACGTGCAGCTCCTCCTTTTAGCACTCCATGTTTCACCAGGTGGTTGGACAAGGGCCACAGCATTGAGGATGCGCACAAAAAGGACGTACCTTAAGAGATTGATGCTGACATATGCCAAGCATGCTGACCTCTTGCCCAGCTGGGCGGGGTGGAAGCCTGGCTGACGTTGTTATTGATTCCTGCGATGGCTCCAAAGCTTATGAGCACTCGCTCGCGACGTTCTGCCCTTTTGCTGCTAAAGCATGCTAAAGCACTGCGGGCGGAAGAAGTGTGTTGCAAACGACCCTTGACACCACACCGGCTTGGCACAACACGTGCCAAAGCCAGGGGCTCGAATTCGGCCAAAGCTGGAGATAATAAAGGCACGAAAGGCTTGCTCGTTCCTCGGTCTGTCTCAAACAGAAGGTCCGAAAGGATGCAAATGAAGCACTCTAGAGATGGTCAGTTGGCGGGCGACATGTGTCATCAGCTTAAGACCACACTCACTGCAGAGTGGAAAATCAACTCAAATCCAGGGGTGGAGCAATCCTCATTCTGACGTTCGGTCAGTGGTGCCCTGCTTTCGCATCCTTTCACCGTAGCCATGAAAGCTTCAACTGTCCATGTTCTGAGCATCATGTCCAGGTCACAGGTCTTATCAAATCTTTGAAGCGAGTGAGCAGAGGCCATCAGCAGCCATGGCTGAAGGCAATGATAATGTGGAAGCCCCTCCAGTGGACCAAGCAGAGCCCGCCGCGTCTACTGAGAGGGTTGGAGCCTAAGCCACGCTACATTGAGAGATTGATAGTTGGATTGGAAATGAGAATGCCAACGCCTTTGCTATTGAATACTGTATGGTTTTAGATGGTTTAGTTTGCTTTAGGGCTACTGCGCATGAGACCATGGGGCTACGAAGCCCATGATGCTCAACATGCAATTCCTTGCAAGGCCAGCTTGAAAGACGAAGGCGGAGTGCCTTGGCCGGTGGTTGCCTTAGCAAATGCCAGTGCCATCCAGTTCCGACGTGTGAAATGGACTGTGCTTGCTCAAACCAACTTTGCTTTGAAGGTGGTGCTTATGAAATGAATAATGCCCAAAGCAACGCGGAGACGGAGAAGGAATTCTTAAGAGTGTGGTGTCCCCTCCCAGAGACCTTAGCAGATGTTTGACGACCACTCAAAAGGTCAGCAACGTCGATCCTAGTGCAACTACCAAGTGTGGGGAATTCTCGAGTCAAGGACAGAAACAGTATCAAGACAGTGCTCACTGCTTCTGCGATGTCAGCCAGCTCACCTAGGGTGACTGGCACGTGGGAATTTCTGTAGAACCGCCCATGCTTTGCTCGGCACAGATTTTTAGCCAGAGGAACTTTTCGAGCAAATCCAGTGGATTTCACTAGCGGGGGACATTCATAAGATTCATAAGCAAATCAAGCACCCTGACTGCAACAGAAGTGGATGGACACCCGCTGAGACCAATTTCTGCACTTGCTACGTCCTGCGCTGCGCACCGCACCACAACAGCACGACAAGTTCACAGTGAAGATGGATGTTGTGTGGATCGCTCATGTTCAAACTGATTTAACAATCACACGTTCTTGTGAATCCCTCAAATTTGCTTGCGTGATGCACATATTGCAGCTGTTTCTGTAACGGGGCCAGCGCATCATCAGGTGAAGAAAAGAGGGTGTCCTGGCAGCTATGCTTCGTCCGCACAGCCTTGCCGAAGAGGTATAGTCAAACAGACGCTGTATTATTAGATGTATTAGTGACGTGTGGACCATACATGATATATATCGGGATACCCCAAACCTAGCAAAACAAGCAGGATATTGGTCAGGGTGCCAGGTCTTTTGGCTCCTTTTGCTTGACAACTTCCCAGGTGCACTGATTTCTTCTGCATTTGGGTCTATGTCGCCGGTTGGGCGGCGTTCGCCTTCGTGACCTTCTTAGGCTTGCAGGCGACGCCGGCACCGGCGATGTCCGGGTGCATGTCTGGCATGGGAGTGGTAAACTTGGTTGAAGCGTCAACCACAAGCAGTAGTGGTTGTTGAATGCGATGAGAGGCGAGGGTTTGGTTTTCATGGGCTATGGTCAAACAACACCAATCCTCAGCTTCTCACTGTACAGCAGCTACATTGAGTTCACTCTACAATCACAGAGAAAATGATTTTTCAAGATCTTTCGAGCACCAGATAAGCCGGGGGGGGCGTGTTGATACCAGAGCCTCTTGCAGCATGGAGCTGGTGGAAGGATGGCAACCCGACCAAGTTGTACGCCTCTCGTGATTATTCTGGCAGCTACTGTGGGGTGAATGACAACTGGCAGACTAACTATCAGTTGAGACTTTGCAGCAATTAGTCAGTTTCGTCAAGTCGACTCTAAGTGCTTGTGCCAACATGGTGGACTTTTGGGGATTGTGTGGGCGTTGGGGCCCGTTGGCAATTCCAACAGAACTCATTATATACATATACATAAGTCATATATAGATATATATGTTGTCAAGCCTTCTATGCTTCAGCACCACGACAGGATCGTTCAGACGTACACCGAAACTGACTGGTTGTTACTACTGCCCCTTACCGTTGCTTCAGAGGTTTCAGTGAAAGTTTCAATGAGAAGCCAATGAGTGATCTGACCCCTTTCACACTTGGGTTCTTTCCAACCACGCCCTGCCATTGGCCAAAAAAAATGAAGACAGTGGGCGAAAAGATCAACTGACCCAATTCACATTCCGACCCGTTGGCTCCGGTGTCGCGGACCCACCGCTCTCGCCGACCCGGGGCGTCCGGCTGGGCCCAGTGCGGGGCGTCTAAGGGATGGCTTCCCATCCCTCGGCTACACCATGAACGTTACGCCCTTTGGGCTCCAGTGACGTCGTGATGGACCGGGGGCACAGGATGTTCGGAGCGAAACCGTTCGAAGCAGGACGTGGGAGTGGCAAGGACGTGGGAGAACAACACAGAGTTTCCAGAATGGCACTGGCAGATGCTTTAAAATCAGAAGTCCAGCACAAAAAAGGTCAATCATTTGGATCCCTTTGGACAGGGTCGGTCTATTCTGTTGGGGGAGGTGGAGTGGTTGGACAGATCGAAAGACCGGTTTTTGGCATGTTTTGGCCGCTGCAGGGCAACGACTGACCTCATCGTGAAGGAACTGCACCCTGGCCAGAGGTACATGCAAGCAGATTTGGATGGGCCAATCCAAAACCCGTACATCTGACGAGTTGTGTACATACGACCTTTTGTTTGGGTTGTTCGGGCAGCTTGTTCATCTCAAGGCTATGTTTGGTTGAATCACTGGGG